ATTAAGCTCGAACTTCAGGAAGAGTGACATTAAGCCCTCTGTGAGGAAAGGGTATGTTTTAGCTGTTGACTTCAATAGGGGTTGGATAAGGTCTTGATTTATTCTGGAGCTGTGTAGTGCAGATAAGAGAGGCAACAAATTCAGAGACACCTACAAGACAAGCAGCTAAATCTAGGATGCTTAGGATTGACAGCTTCTGAAAAACAGAGGTGTACGCAAGTGGGAGGAGCTTCCTATCACAGAGACACGAAGATATGTTTCAGTGATGACAGTCTGCACTGGAAGAACAAGGAAATTTAAAACAGAGATTGTCTTGTATAAATTCAGCTTGGATCTGCAGCTAGAATAATGACAGACAGGCTGCACAGTTTCCTGGGCTGGTGTATCTGCAGGGTGTGGTGTTACTGAGATAGGTTTCTGCTTGCTCTGAGGTCTCTGCACCACGTTTCATTACATGGTTATTGCATGTCACGAGCCTCTAATACTAAGGATGTTTTGGTCCCTTCTTAAAACTCTCCAGCTTTCTCTTCTGTTGTTCTCATTAGCTTTCTCTATTTGTATTATTCTGATTTCTTGACTTACTTTAGAACTAAATATTCTGATAAAATTCATAATGTTGAAAATAAAACCACCACAATTAAGGATGAGATTTTGTTCTACTTGTTTTTATCATTAAAAAATGTGTAAAAACTGCACAGTTTTGAGGAAAGTTTTTCCTAAAAAGTGAATTTAAATAACAAAAGATGATCTTTGTTTAAATTTCAAAAGATAATATTTTCAGATATTTAAACAATGAGTTATTTTTCCTGAATCTAAAAGCTCTTCAAAGGGATTAAACATTGCATTATTTTTTTTTTAATTTTAAAAGAAAATGATAGAAAATAAATTATAACTTAAGAAATACTGATTGTATTGCATTTGCATGGCAAGATTTTGGTGTTGGAGGCCCTGTAAGGGTGGCTTCTGTGAGAAGCTGTTACAGGTTCCCCCCATGTCCAGTGAAGTAAACGCCAGCCAGCTCTAAGACAGACCCGCCACTGGCCAAGGCCAAGTGCACTAGCAACAGTGGCAGCATCTCTGAGGTAAAAGACAAGAAAAGGAAAAAAGTAGTGCAACATCAGCAGCAGCTGAAGAGAGGAGTGAGAGTATGTGAGAAAAACAACTTTTCAGACACTAACATCAGCGAAGAACAAGGTGGAGGAGGTGCTCCAGGCACCAGAGCAGAGTTTCCCTTGCAGACTGTGGTGTAGACCGTGGTGAGCCAGGCTGTCCCCCTGCAGCCCATGGACATCCACACTGGAGCAGATGTCCGTCTGCAGCTCTTGGAGGACTCCATGCTAGACTAGGTGGTCACACCCAGAGGAGGTTGTGACCACACTGGAGGAATATGTGTCATATGAGGCTGTTTAGAGAAGACTGAGGGAAGACCTTATCACTCTCTACAACTACTTGAAAGGAGGTTGTAGTAAGGTGGAGTTTGGTCTGTTCTCCCTAGTGGCGAGTGATGGGACAAGGGAAATTACCTTAAGTTGCGCCAGGGGAGGTTCAATTTGGGTATTAGGAAGAATTTCTTTACCGAGAGGCTTGTCAGGCACTGGAACTGCCTGGTGAGGGAGGTGGTTGAGTTGCCATCCTTGTCAGTGTTTAAGAGACAGATGTGCTGAGAGATGTGGTTTAGTGTTGTTAATAGGGCTATGACAAAGGTTGGACTTGATGATCTTGAAGGACTCTTCCAACCTAAACTTTTCTATGATTCTATGATTCTATGATGATTCTGTGATGATTCTATGATGATTCTATGACTCTATGAAAAATATTAAGGATGTATACCGTGAGGGGGATTCCACACTAGAGCAGGAAAAGAATGTGAGGAGTCCTTCTCCTAAGGAAGAAGGAGTAGCAGAGACCACATGTGATGAACTGACCACAACCTCCATTCCCTGTTCCCCTGCATCACTAGAGGAGAGAAGTTGTAGAAAATTGAGAGTGAAGTTGAGCCTAGGAAGAAGGGAGGGATGAGGGGAGAGTGTTTCAAGTCTTGTTTTTATATCTCATTATACTACTCTGATTTGATTGGCAACAAATTAAACTAATTTCTCCAAATCAAATCTGGTTTGCCCATGCTGATTGATCTTTCACTGTTCTTGTCTTGGCTCACGAGCGTTCCCTCTTTCTCATCCAGCTGATGCGGAGAGTCACAGAGTGGCTTTGGTGGGGACCTGACATCCAGCCGTGGTCAAACCACCGCACTTGTAATAATTAAAAAAAACCCCAACCAAGTAAAAAAAAGACCAAAACAGAAAACACAGGGGCTTCAGTTTTGGTGAGTGTTAGGAAGAAAATAAAATTCTAAATATTTAATTTTATCTCTTTTTTTTATAAATAAAATGAATGTATTAATCTAATAACAAAACTAATCTGAAAAAATTAAAGGTAAATGAAATTATTCCACTTTTTGCAACACATTACAACAAATTCTGTATAGCAATTTGCCTTCTTTCAATCTTCAGCTCTGGATAAGAAAGCATTTTACTTTTTAGCATTTGAACCCTACAAAATAGGACTACAGTGAATATAAGAGTAGAATGATGTAGATGTAGACAGTGAATTGTATTAAAGAATAACACAGGAGCCTTACAAGATTAAACAGCTGGAGACAGAAGTCCCTTAGTGATTGTGTACTAATGATCACACAGCATTGAAGTTACTAGACTCATACATCCTGAGTGAGCAGGGAAGATGTTGCCCCCCCTTCTGCAACATAAGTACGGATATTTTCATACATATTAAACAGCAACTCTGATGTTCTTTTTCCCCTAGCCAAAGCATTCGTGAAGCTATATTACGACTGTTATGCCTAAGAAACTTCTTGGACCTGTTACAATAATAAATTCTAGGTCAATTAAATTCAGAGCTTTTGAGACATGTCTTGAAATTTACCTTAAATTTTCAGGGGAATTAGACTGTTTCACAGGAGACTGAACAGCAAGTCACCAGTTAACTGCTGTGAGTGTGTAAGTTTGGGTCAAGGAAGAATAATTCAGGGCATCTTTTGATTCCTGAAACTGGGTTGAGTTCACTTTGAAATTCACCTATATTTTGTTCACCTGTAAAACCCACGTCACCGTCGCCCTGAACTACATTCAACTTGTATAACCTGATGTCATTCTAACTCCTAGTTGTAGACTGCATTTCTCACCATTTGCAGTGCCCGGCTAAAATGCCTTCAGACATTTAGGAAGCTGAGATGAAGGTTTCCAGGCTTATATTTCCTAAATCTTCTGTTTGTTTGTTCTAAGGATCTACAGTCCATGTTGACTGACTCCTGTGCAAGGTGCTCCTACAGTATGGAAACTCATGACACAATCTTCAAACAGAAACTGACACATACCTCAGGAGAAGATCATCTGCAATATTTTAATTAAATAATAAAAAATTTTGGGAATGGAAAGGGGATGAACTTAGTCAAGCAGAAGAAATTTAATCCCTTCTTTGCCTTACTGTATATGAAATTTAATTCCTTGGCTGATGATCACACATGCATGTACACATTATATACACCCTGTGTGTTCCTTTCAGCACCTTTGCCTCACGGGTGAGCATCTGATGTTTAAGTATGATACAAGGAGGAGAAGGATGGCAGCAAAGTACCTTACCTATAAATAGATCAGAAGATTATTCTGATATATAGAAAAAGCAGGAACAATAAACACATGGGAAAACTCAACAACAGCATTTATTCACTCCATGATTGTGATAGATGCTTCTGCACACAAGAGAAAAGTAAATGTGTCTTTTTTTAATCTTCTACTTGATTATTTTTTCTGTCTCTTTCAGTCAGATACTGAAGTTAAACTATGCCATGGAAGCACTTCTTTAGCCTTCTCCTTTGTTAAGTCCTCCATGTTATTCTGCCATTACTCCCTTTGTGTTTGAATAACTCTGTGACCCATACATCTGAGTTTAAAAATTTTGGGTTTATGTCTGATTGAATAATTCACACTTGGAAAGTACTCACCTGTCCAGCAGTGTCTAGAATGTCCAAATAGGCTGGTTCATCATCAATTCGGACTTGAGTTTTATAGGCATCCTCTGAAAAACACAGTGCAGTAAAACTAAGCATAGGAGTGGCTCAGAGAATGTAAAATGAAATAGCTTTGCTAGTTTAGATTAGGCTTTTCAAAAGCTCACATTTGACCTGACTGTGCTTTTTTTTTCAAGTCAGAATAACACTTTTTAAAATTCTAACATCACTGCAAAGAACCTGCAAAAGGGAGTGATCTTGTCTTTTCTATTACACTGCCTCAAAATAGGAAAGAATTAAATTTACATCTCTTTAAAAAGGTAGCACAGACCATAGGTGGTGTTTAAGTAACAAAACTTCAGAGGTATTTTGCTATTCAGAGCGGTTTTTGGTTACCATAATCACGCTTTCACAGAGCTTTTCCAGCAAATATTTTTCAAGTTAAAGACTGAATGACTGGAATAGTCTCCCTGTAGCTGAAGGAGGCCTCCGGCTCAGACATGTCAAAGTAATTAATTAGACCTCTGTATAACTCGGGAGAGGATGCAAATGGCTTTTTAAAAATAAATTCTGTAATCAGTGTCCTAATACTCATCATTGCTGGGGGTGAAGAAGGAAAAAACTATGTTTGGTGGACTGTTCCCTTAGCTCATGATATCGTCAGCCTGAATTTGGAAAGAGAAAAACAAAATACGTGAACTACTATTTGCATAAGTTGTTTTCTTCACATTTCAGTTTCAACATTTGTAGTTTCTTTCTAAGGTTAAACAGAGTTTTGATGCCAGGCCATGTTTATTCTTGCAATAGTCTTGGAAAATATCCATATTGTTTAATTAAATAACAATGTATAGCAGCCTGAGTGGTTTTGGTGACTGATACGATGTTTTGGCTGTGCATTGAGGCGTGAAGACAAGACAATTGTTTTCAATGCATCTGAGAAGTCTCATTAATCATCATGAGCATATAGTTAGCCCTGTCCAAAGACTCAATCCTGCAAGTCCCAGCTGCCAGAGACCCTCAGGACTAGACTCTCCATAACTATTGCGATAATATTGTGATTAAATTATGGAATTATATTGCAGCTGAAACTCTCAGGACATTCCAATTTTTATGTAATATATATGTTGTACCATATGACTTTTTACAAGATCATATAAAAACATTTTTTCTAGCCATAAAAAGGAAAAAATAAAGCACTCAGATATGAAGAATTCTGGAAGGCTTTAATTAAACCCATGCCTATGATGTCAGTGGCAAGCATTCTTTAATGACATGATCACGTACAGTAATTTCCATGATTCTCCTGCTTCTCTTAGACCTCAGTTCAGCAAATTAATTAAGGACATGCCTCGCTTAAAACAAATACCCAGTCCCATTGATATTAGGATGACTCAGAGGCTCAATCAATTGTATAATTTCTGAGAAAGCCAGAGCATATGTTTCAGTCAATAGATCTCTTTGTAGGGACTGCTATGAAAGACACTCCATGCCGAAGAGGGACCATACAGAGTGAATTAGGCTACTTACGGTTTAAGTAATCTATTATGTCACAACAATGGTATGAGCAGTAGATTTTTTATTTTTTATGTTATTGGTTTGAGTTGAAAGGGATCTTACATATCATTTAGTTCCAATCCTCCTGCCATGGACAGGGATACCTCCTACTAGACCAGGTTGCTCAAAGATGAGTGCAACTTGGTCTTGAGCACTTCCAGGGAGGGAGTTTCCACAGCTTCTCTGGGCAACTTGTTCCAGTGACTCACGACCCTCACAAGAAAGAATTTTTTCCTAATATCTAATCTAAATCAACCCACTTCATTTTGAAACCATTACCCCTTGTCTTACCACTACACTCTCTGATAAAGGGTCCTTCCCCATCATTCCTGTAGCCCTCCTGTAGCCCTCCTTAAGTACTGGAAGACCACTATGAGGTCTCCCTGGAGCTGTATCTAGGCTGAAAAACAGAAAACAAAATATGAAAATATGTAAACTCAAATATGGTATTTCCTTCATGTGAATTCTAATAATATTATAATACATTATTAATGTATTTCCATGCAGATGGGTGCTGATCTGTATTATATTCATGGATACATAATTAGCATATGACTTGAATAAATTTATCTTGCCCTCATGGCTCCACAGCTGGATAATCTAAAGCCAATATGCAGTGGTCCTGTTTCTCTCTTCACTTAGACCAATGTTAACTTTAATGTAGTAACTTTAAAACAGTTAATGCAGAGAGATATTTGCATACATAAGTTTAAGTCAGAAAAAAAAATGAAGCTGGAACCTAGATTAATCCTGTCTTATTTGCTAAGGAAATGAATTAGGAGTTCAGAGTTAAGTTATAATTAAAAGATTCGCTGAATATAAGTCATAACTTTCAGTAAGTAAAGTTAGGATATCTGCACCTAATATCCTGCTGTAACTCCTCCAGGTGCATCCAAATATCACATCACTGTAATCAGTAAAGTTTAAACTGCTAAAAGCTAGAGAAAGGCTATGTTTATATCTCTTTTACTCTGTAAAACTACAAACTTATTGCGTTATTTCATTTATTTTGTTTTCTCAAACTACTGACCTTAAAACAGTTCCAAAAACATCTCAGGAGGGACTATTGTGTGGTTGGTCTTTTCAGTCCAGACAACATATTACACTTTACAGCCACATTAAGGCAACAAAACCCCTGGGATGTGAGAGGAATATGTCAAATGACAACAGAAGATATTTCACTCGAATAACCTGACCTCAGGGGTTCGTTCTGGGTTTAGTGATGATCAAGTCTTTGTCAACGAGTGCACCCTCAGCAAGTTTGCTGATGACATCAAGCTGTGTGGTGCTGTGGATTCACTTGAGGGAAGAGATGCCATCCAGAGGGACCTTGACAGGCTGGAGAAATGGGCCAGTGCAAACTGCAGGAGCTTCAACAAGTCAAAATGCAAGGTCCTGCACCTGGGCCAGGCTAATCCCAGGCACAAATACAAACTGGGCACAGAGTGGGTTGAGAGTAGCCCTGAAGAGAAAGACTTGATGGTGTTGATAGACGAGAAGCTCAACATGAGCCAGCAGAGCGCTCATGCAGCCCAGAAAGCCAACTATATTCTGGGATGTATCAAGAGGAGTGTGGCCAACAGACAAGAGAGAAGTGATTCTTCCCCCTTTTTCTGCTCTTGTAAGACCTCATCTCACTGTGTCCAGTTCTGGTGTCCCCACCACAAGAGGGACATAGATGTATTGGAATGAGTCCAGAGGAGGGCAAAAAAGATGATCTATGTGCTGGAGTACCTCTGCTATGAGGACAGCCTGATAAAGCTGAGCTTGTTCAGTCTGGAAAAGAGGAGACTCCAAGAGGACCTAATAGCTGCCTTCCAGTACCTGAAGGGAACAGAGAGGAAGGCTGGAGAGGGACTTTTTACAGGAGTGTCCTGTGGTAGGACGAAGGGAAATGGATTTAAATTGAAGGAGAATAGGTTTAGACTGGATCTTAGGAAGAAATTTTTTGGTACGAGGGTGGCAAGACTCTGGAATAGATTGACCAGAGAGGCTGTGGATGCCCCCTCCCTGAGGGTGTTCAAGGACAGGTTGGATGAGGTTTTGAGCAACCTGGACTAGTTGAGAGGTGTCCCTGCCCATGTCAGGACTGGATTAGGTGATCTCTAAGGTCTCTTCCAACCTAAGCCTTTCTATGATTCTCTGAAAACAAAGCAGGTAAGTCTTCATCAGGCACACTAACAAACTCAATGTCTAATCTTCTCTCTTTAAAAATTATTCACATTATTACAAACGCAGTCTGGTATATTTATGCTGTTCACAATGTTTGGGTACATTACATCTTTGTTCACCTAACTGATTTATCATATTAGTATAATGTTCCCTTTAAATTTAATTGGGACTTGCTAAGCTACGTGTATCTGGACTTACATCCTACAGCTCTAAGTGATACTTATTAAAAAGACAAATGCCAACTGTCCTTTCAGTAAACCATTGAGAAGATATATAAAAAAGAGACAATAATAATCATACATCAGACGATAAATCAGACAACAACTATATTTCTTATATTAAACTCAGTGTCTTTTTCTGTGAGACTAACTGTAAAGTCCCAGCTTTTGGTTTAGGAAAAATGCAGCAGAAAGTTAGAGTATTATAAGAAAAATCTGTATATGCATTTTATTGATATTGCTGTGCTATATAACAGTGGTTCAAACACAGACTGCAAGAATTAGTGGCTCTTAGGATAACAAAGAGAAAAATGGACCAAAGCCCCCTGCTTCCTTGTAATTTGTATAATATTTGAATACATGAATATATGAACTAGATAGTTAAAATTTCTGGTAAAATTTATTTTTTAAAGAGTATTATTTTCCTTTTTTCATATACAATATGGACTTTGAGAATTTTCTTACAAACACTAGAAAATAAAGATGAAAATAAATAAATAATTCAGCTTAAAAAAGTTATGCTGCTTGGCTTAAATTATTACTGACTGTTTACTGTTTTCCTGGGTGGGGAAAAAAGCAAACAGAGCTCAATCTGTTTTCTGAATGACAACTATTTATTTGTATAACTCTTTTATCCTTTACTGAATATCTCATTTAAACCAAGAAATCATGTTTTTTTTCAAAAGGCATTTTAACTTTTTTTTTTTTAATTCTTTCATTGTTCTTTGCAGTACCATGAATGAAAAAGAAAAATTCTCCCTTAAAGCTTTCATTATATGGCACTTGTTTTTGTAAAATTAATACATCCTCCTTTTTCAGGTTTTCTTTTTTATAGGACATCATTCTGAAGGCAGAAGTACAATAATTAATGCAAGGTTGTGTTGCAATCAGTTATGTTAGCACTGGAGAGGCTAGAATCATAAAAAATATATCAAAGTACTTTTTCAGCTATGAACAGGTATCTGCTTCATGACAAATAGATTTGGATGGTGTACAATTTAAAGGGGAGTTGGAATAAGCTTTTCATCTGCATTACAGACATATTCCAATCCCTGAAATATAGGTCAGCTGCTTCTTCTTCCTTTTGTTAATTCTGCTTATATTCCTTCTAAATAAATAATCTC